TTAGGGTTTCACAGTACCCTAAACCCTGAACCCTGAACCCTAAACCCTAGACCCTCTTCGTAGGGTAAGAGGATGACGGGTCCCTTCCAGGGGTCCCTCCTCGTGTCCCTTGAAGTCCAAGGCGCAAGGCTTTGATTCATGTCATGCCAAAGGAGTTGTGCCAGATTGGTTTGCGGTTTGGGGTTTGGGGTTTGGGGTTTAGGGTTTAGGGTTTAGGGTTTAGGGCTTAGGGTTTAGGGCGTAAGGCCTAAACCACCACAGCTCCGAAGCTCATCTGAAACTGCCGAACTTTGTGTGTTTGCAATGGTTAGGTACCCTTAGATACCCAACTATGCTCTTTAGCTTTTAGGGTTTAGGGTTTAGGGTGAACCCTAGCACCTCAGTTGGAGGTTCATGGGTAGATATGAGCGTGGTTATAAGTGGGGTATCTATACTTACAGCTGCTTCTAACCGTATTTAGGCTGCCTCTAGCCCAACATGTAACTACCCATGAACCTTCAAGCAGCGCCCGCACCCCCCAAACCCTAAACCCTAAACCCTAGACCCTAGACCCGAGACCCGAGACCCGAGACCCGAGACCCGAGACCCGAGACCCTAGACCCTAGACCCTAACACACCTGGCTCATGTGATCTGGCATGAGCGGCTTCCCCCCAGACTGCGAAAACCTGAACCACCCAAGCACTCCGCCGACACTTGCGCACATACCCGGGGAAATTTCATTCATTTTGGTGACTTTCATGCGCTCTACCTTTGAGCTCAGGGGCACCGTATTTACAGCTAAACCGGAACCCTACTTGGTAGCCCAGAGGTACCCCTTTCCCTCTTTGGGTTCAAGGTTCCCCTATCAAGTGACCAATCCCAAAAAAGGGTGCTCTTATTGTAGTAGCATTACTGGGCTACCAAGCCTGACGGCTCCGATTGGTTGCATGTCAGCCAACTCCTGCGGCACAGTGTCAGCAGATCTCCTGACCTGTTCGAACTTTCCAAACCTGGCATCGCGATGGTTTAGGGTGTAGGGTGTGGAGTTTAGGGTTTAAGGTGAGGGTGTAGGGTTTAGGATTTCAGCTAGGTGTTGGTGCTTCTGTCCGCAGCTGTTCTACACAGCGAATTCCCTCTGCCCGCTCGCAGCTCTCGCCTCCTGCCTGTCTTGGTAGCGTCCCCACGAAAAGAAGCAAACCTTTCACCCAGTATTGTTGCACGGTGCCTCTTTTCTATGTTTTGTACTATGTTTGTTTATACTATCTCGTGTGATATGATGGCATTTTGTATATTTCGGTTTTCTGATTATCGTGTTAGAATGCTGCAATATTCTGTTAGTATATCGCTATGCAATTATGGTATTATGTTAACATGTTAAAATAGCATGGTTGTATGTTTATGTGATTAAGATACTATCATATTTTACATATTGTATTAGGGTATTACTCTCTTGTTTTATGACTGTATCATGGTAATATTGTATATTGTATTGCAGTCATCTATCAATATATCAATCATTATATCTTTACATCACTATAGCATTTTTATTTTTATTGAAGCAGTTTATCCATGTTATTACAGTATTGTGTCTCACGCCATCAAGTAGATTTTGGTTGTCCTTTCATATTCGCATGCTATTGCAGTATCAAATTGTTTACATAATTTATGTTCTCATGTTTTTTACGCTGTTATACCATGCTACGGTTTTTTTTGCATTATGACCTGGCACGAAACTTTCATCGAAGCCGTGGGGTCCACACAGCTGCGAGGTTTAGGGTTTAGGGTTTAGGGTTTAAGGGTAGTTTCATGGGCTCTTTTTATGGTGCCCTTATGCCTTCTTTGAAAGGGAGCCCTCTTGCTTCAGCTGTAAAGACGCTGAGGGCGCACCAAGTCTAATCTGCTACAAAGCCCCAGAACCCCCTCAAGGGTTCGGACAAGACGAAACCAAACCCTCGCATTCGTGTCGTCGTGACTCGTGTGTCGGGTGTCTTTTGAGTTGAGTTTGTGAAGCCTCCATCCTCACCAGCCTCCGCAAAACCTTAAACCCTAAACCCTAAACCCTAAACCCTGGGAACCCCAGACCCTGAATCCTAAACCTCCAAAGCTTTGAAGCCCCGACTCACAAGCGAAGCCCCCTTTTTCCCCTTTCCCTTTCAAGTTTGGGGTTTAGGGTTCATGCATCCTTCCCCAAATGTTAAGCAGTCCCCCTCTAGCGTTAAATTCTGAAAGGGAATGCAGGCAGCATGTTCAAATTTGCGAGCGGGCTGGGGGGGGGGCGGGGGGGTGGCGGGGGTGGGGGTGGGGGGGGGGGGGGGGGTGGGGGTGTAGGGTTGCGCTAAACCCTGAACCCTAAACCCCTAAACCCCAAACTCTTACACCCTAATCCCCCAAACCCCTAAACCCCTAAACCCTAAACCCTGAACCCTAAACCCTGAACCCTAAACCCTAAACCCTAAACCCTAGTCATGACTCAGGGGTTTCAGGGCTGTGGAGTTGTGAGCTATTTGTCGCTTTGCGAGTTTGTGCCCTCAGAATGGCTTTAAAAGAAGTAGGATTTAGGGGTTTGGGGTTTGGGGTGTAGGGTCTGGGGTTTAGGGTTTTGGGTTTAGGGGTTTAGGGTTTAGGGGTTAGGGTTTGGGGTTTAGGGCTTAGGACTACCGATAGACCTTCTGCATTGGGGATTAGCGTGTAGTCTGGAGAGGAGACAAGAAGAAGTAGAGTTGTAGTGGGTGTGTACGTGTACTTCTGACCCTACAGTTATAGATACCCGTGAACCTTCAAGCAGGGTTCTGACTGGAGAGTCGGGTCTCTTAGTTTTTGGGTGTATGCTGCAGAGTTCGGGGGTGTAGGATGACGGTTTGGTTTAGGGGCGAGGGGTTAGGGGTTACGGGGTTTAGGGCATGTTTGAGCGGTGAGTCGTGATGACAGGTGTGTTGAACCAGCACAACGGTTTTTCCATGTGCTTCAGTTGCTTGCAGCCTTTGGTGGTATTCAATGTGCTTACGAGCAAAAGAAGTGGAGCCGATGCCTTAAATCCCACACACAGTTGCTTGGTTCATGGGTAGTTAGAAGTGGGGTGATAAGTAAGGTAGCTAAGAGCATAACTGGCTAGAACCTTTTTTTAGGGCACCGACTATTCTAATATACGCATATACTCTTACACTTATTCAGGGCACCTATAACTCTACCTATAACTACCCGTGAACCTCCAAGTCTGGGATGAACACATCTTTGTTCACGCAGAATCTGTCAGCTTCCTGAAATAGCGGCAAGTGACAATCGAATATGTCTTAAAGCCTTCTGCGGCTGTGTGGTACGGAAGTAGGCCAACACACCCTAAACCCTAGATCCTAAACCCAAACAACCTCGAAGCCCAGCAGACAGTTCTTTGAAGAGCATCGCACATCCTCTCGGCAAGTCCTGGGACATGTTGTATGCGAATTTTCCTTTTTTGGGCTTAGGTGGACTAGTAGAGGGGCCTCAATAACTACAATAGGGTTTTAGGGGTTACTGTAGTATAGCTACAGAGGGACCATAAAGGAACACCAGGTGTGAAGGTTCGATGGCGACAGAGTTTAGGGACCAGGGGCTAAGGTTTAAGTTTAGGTCGTTGAGGGTCCAAAGATGAGGATGTCTTGTTTGGCACCCTCAACCCTAAACCCCCTAAACCCCCTAAACCCCCTAAACCCCCTAAACCCCCTAAACCCCCTAAACCCCCTAAACCCCCTAAACCCCCTAAACCCCCTAAACCCCCTAAACCCCCTAAACCCTCAACCCTCAAATTTCAAACCCTACCAAACTCCAGGTGCTCTGGCCCTGAACCCCGCCTGGAGAGCCCCACCCTGCGCTGTGTTTTTGTTGCGGTTTAGGGTTTAGGGTTTAGGGTTTAGGGTTTAGGGTTTAGGGTTTAGGGTTTAGGGTTTAGGGTTTAGGGTTTAGGGTTTAGGGTTCAGGGTTCAGGGTTCAGGGTTTAGGGTTCACGGTTTAGGGTTTAGGGATTGCTACGGCACCCGTTGTCGGCTTCCTTAGGTACAGAAGGTGAGGAGGCATGAAGTTCTTGAGAGCCCCCTATTGTAGAAGCGCAAGTATAGATAACACGCAAGTTCAGATTCACGCGCATAAATATAAAAATATAAATATATATGTAGATATACACATCATATCAACCTATTTACATCTAAGAAAGATGTATATACATGCACATATGCATACAGTCGACAAACCCGGCTTGACCAAGCAAGGCTTTAGACCCTAAATTTGAAGGTTTTGCATTTGTTACTTCTGATTACATTTTTACTTCTTTGCGGGGTGGGTGGGGGGCGGGGGGAGGGGGGGTGGGGGGGGGTGGGGGTAGGGGTGGTGGAGGGTGGAGGTTCCCTTAAAGACCCTATAAGTTGTTGTTGATTCGCACTTTTATTCCAGGCAGGCCACTGGAATGTGTTGATTTTCCCTTCAACACAACGGGGTTTAGGGTTTAGGGTGTAGAGTCTAGGAGTTAGGGTTTGGGTTTAGGGTTTAGGGTCTAGGGTCTAGGGTTTAGGGCTTAGGGCTTCGAAACGACCAACACGAAGCCATGCTGCCAAATGTTCGAATGTGCCACACACTCCAATCAACCCGAAACTCCTGAAACCCTAAAACTCTGTAATTCAAGAATAATCCTAAACCCTAAACTCCTAAAACCCAATAGCCCTAAACCCTAAACCCCTCAAAACCCTATAACCCCATTGCAAGAACGTCTCCTACAAACCCTAAACCATAAACCCTTACCCCTAAACCCCTAAACCCTAAGCCCTAAACTCCTAAAACCCCAAAACCCTAAACCCCTAAACCCCTAAACCCCTAAACCCCTAAACCCCTAAACCCCTACACCCCTAAACCCCTAAACCCCTAAGCCCTAAACTCAAAAAACTCCAAAACCCTAAACCCTAAACCCTAGACCCTAGACCCTAAACCCTAAACCCTTACCCCTCCAATAATTCGAGAATGTCTCTAACAGAGGGTTCCACTCTGGGCATCGGAGGATGCGGATGTCGAGTCCAGGTCGGCCAGGCCATGCAGTAGGCTTTTGAAGGGTTTTGGTTTAGGGTTTGGGGTTTAGGGTTTATGGTTTAGGGTCTAGGGTTCAGGGTTTAGGGTTTAGGGTTTAGGGTGTAGGGTTGAGGGTTGAGGGTTGAGGGTTGAGGGTTGAGGGTTGAGGGTTGAGGGTTGAGGGTTGAGGGTTGAGGGTTGAGGGTTGAGGGTTGAGGGCTTGGCGTGAAAGATTTAGGGTTCAGGGTTTCGGGTTAGGTTTAGGTTTTCTTACATTTGCGGGCTGTTTAGGGTGCGGGAGTTAGGGTTCGGCGTCAATTGTGTTTTGCTGCTCGGTGATTGTTTGAAGTGTTGTTTTGAAAGTGTGTGTCCCTAAACCCGAAACCCGAAACCCTAAACCCTAAACCCTAAACCCTAAACCCTAAACCAAAATGTCTCTGTGTGTGTGTGTGTGTGTTTTGTTGTTTCATTTTCTGATAGGCTTTGTTTGCTCATGTCCTTCAGACTTCAGGGAGAGAGGGGGAGAGACAGGCGGGAGGGAGGGGGGGGGGGGAGCGTAGCACCACCCTAAACCCTAGACCCTAAACCCTAAACCCTCAACCCTAAACCCTAAACCCTAGGGAACCCTAAATCCTAGGCTTCAACCCTTGGTGCTTCAGGCTAGGGGTTTGATTGTGAGATCTGATACCTCGTCGGTTTAGGGTTTAGGGTTTATGGTTTACGGTTTAGGGTTTAGGGCTTAGTGCAGTTCTACGCAGGCGCTTGGGTCTTCCGAATATCTTGGGTCCCCGCTTATGCACCCAAACTATAGCAGAATTCCTTTCAAGGGCCTGAGCCCTTTAAGGGATCTCCCTAAAAAAAGCACACTGACTTTGGGAATCCTGCACTGCTGTCTCTGGCCAGGCGCGAACAAGTTCTTTAAGGGTCTTGAGGCTTTAGGGCTTAGGTGCGAAAGGCTTTAGGGTCCAGAGTTTAGGGTCTAGGGTTTAGGCTCCAATTCGATTGGGCTCTGGACCCCAGATCCTTTTCTAGGAGATGCCACGAGGATTACAATGCTCGGCTGGCCTTGAAATTATCTAAAGATGCAATCTTAGGGTTTAGGGTTTAGGGTTTAGGGTTTTGGAACCCATGGATCCAAAACGTAGAACCCCCAAGTAGTGCCCTCTACTGCTATTGGGGTCATTCTTAGGAACCCTTGGAGGGACCGGCTTGTTGGATCCTTTCAAGAGGGTTTAGGGTTTAGGGTTTAGGGTTTAGGGTTGAGGGTTTAGGGTTTAGGGTTTAGGGTTTAGGGTTTATTCAAGACATGCGGCGATCAGGAGCGAGGAGAACGAGAAGTGGAAGCAGAATTGGACCCGACAGATGCGAGCCACTCTGCACTGCATGAGACCTAAACATGAAACACCAACAGGTTATGGCCCCTTTTCGGGTTGCGTTCTGGTTCGGAGCCCTATTTTAAACGGGCAACCAAGAATGAAAGGACCGACGCACACACACACACACACACTCACACACAGACATTAAATCCTTGCCTGAAGCCCGAACTTCGCATCGTGATCCTTTTGGTGCTTCTGTTTCGACTTAGGGTGTAGGCTTTAGGGTTCAGGGTTTAGGGTTTAGGGTTTAGGGTCCAGGGTCTAGGGTTTAGGGTTTAGGGTTTAGGGTTTAGGGTTTAGGGTCTTTAGGAGTCGCACTATCGCCATTCGGGCCCGCTGCGCTAGCCGTATTGCCTGTGGACACCGTGCCACACAAGTTCAATCCCTCCGTTGTGCTTAACTCCTGGCTTTGTCATGATGAAATCGGGTGGCTAGAGCTATACCCAGACATCCAAAAAAGTAGAACCCCCAAAGTAGTACCCCCCCATACTACTATTGGGTCATTCGGTCATTCTAAGGAAACCTTAAAGGGATCTACTATTTGGATCCTGCCAGGCGTCTGGGTATGGGTAGTTCTTTAAATGAGGGTCACCTTTTAGGGGGTCCTTCTTTTAAGAGTGCCATACTACATAGAGGACCCCAAAGAGGTAGAGAACTGCCCGTAGAATTGATTGTAGCTGTTTTCCAGGGCGCTTCGAATCCTGCTTCGTGTCTGCCCGTAGGGCTTAAGTATTGAGAGGCTTCGTTGGCTTGGGGTGTTTAGACTTCAAGAGCTTTCACACCTCTTAAATCCCAAGCCTCTGTTGATGTGGTTTGCGCTGCTGCTGGTCTGCCTAAACCCGAAGCCCTGAACCATGAACCCTAGCTCACCCAGAGGGGTAGGACCATGGGTTTTCAAGGGTCGAAATTCAGTCCCGTAAGCCTTGAGACTAAAACCCCAAACCCTCAACCCTCAACCCTAAACCCTAAAACCCTTAAAGCCCCAAACCCTCAACCCAAATAGAGGGTTCGGACCAGGGGTTCCTCCAGGACCAGATTCAGTCCCGCAAGCCCTAAGCCGGAACCCGCAACCCTAAAGCCCTGAAGCCCTAAAGCCCTAAACCCCTAAACCCTAAAACCCTAAAACCCTGAAACCCTGAAACCCTAAAACCCTAAAACCCTAAAACCCTAAATCCCTAAAACCCTAAGATCCTAAAACCCTAAAACCCTAAAACCCTAAAACCCTAAAGCCCTAAAACCCTAAATCCCTAAACCCTAGACCAAAAACCCTAAAACCCTAAAACCCTAAACCCTACAACACCACACCCTAAAACCCTAAAACCCCAAAACCCCAAAACCCCAAAACCCTAAAACCCTAAAACCCTAAAACCCTAAAACCCTAAAACCCTAAAACCCTAAAACCATAAAACCCTAAAACCCTAAAACCCTAAAACCCTAAAACCCTAAAACCCTAAAACCCTAAAACCCTAAAACCCTAAAACCCTAAAACCCTAAAACCCTAAAACCCTAAAACCCTAAAACCCTAAAACCCTAAAACCCTAAACCCAAAACCTTAAAACCCTAAACCCTAAACCCTAAACCCTAAACCCTAAACCCTGCACCCTAAACCCTAAACCTTAAACCCTAAACCCTAAACCCTAAACCCCAGATCAAGGCCAGACTGAGCAGCCAGCTGGGCGACTTGGGCGCGGGGGCACAAAGGGTTTAGGGTTTTGGGTTTTGGGTTTTGGGTTTAGGGCTACTAGGAGGACTGTAGGCTTTTACGGTTTTAGGGTTTCAGGGTTTTAGGGGTTGTAGGGTTCTAGGGTTGCAGGGTTTCAGGGCTTCAGGGTTCTGGGGTTTCATGGTTGCAGGGTTTTAGGGTTTTGGGGTTGGGGGGTTTGGGGTTTTGGGGTTTTGGGTTTTCGGGGTTTCGGGGTTCTGGGGCTCTGGGTTTTTAGGGTTCAGGGCTACTTGGAGGAGGTTCATTGGTAGTTCTGAGTAGGGCTATAGGCACCCGAAAGGAGGGTTAGGGCCGCTACTTTAAGGAGGTTCATTGGCAGTTACCCGAAACCCTAAACCCTAAACCCCAAACCCTAAGCCCTGAGTAGGGCTATAAGTACCCGAAATACGTTTGTTTAGGGCTGAGGGCGGAGGCACCCCTAGAAGGGGCCCTTCATCCTTGCACCCCGTAAGACCCTAGTACCAGCCCCAAATCCCTGAACCCTACAGATAGCCCTAAACCCTAAACCCTAAACCCTAAACCCTAAACCCAAAACCCTAAACCCTAAACCCTAAACCCTAAACCCTAAACCCTAAACCCTAACCCTAAACCCTAAACCCTAAACCATTCAAAGGGTCCATCCTGTTGTCCCTGAAGCCGCAATGCCCCCAAACGGATAGAAACCCAAAGCCCTTAGAGATTCAGGGTTTTAGGGTTTTAGGGTTTTAGGGGTTTTAGGGGTTTTAGGGGTTTTAGGGGTTTTAGGGGTTTTAGGGGTTTTAGGGGTTTTAGGGGTTTTTAGGGTTTAGGTTTCGGGGTTTTAGGGTTTTGGGTTTTGGGGGGTTAAGGGTTTCAGGGTGAAAGGTTTGAGTCTTAGTCCTACTGCCAGTACCCCCTAAACCCTGAACCCCAAACGCTTGGCCGTGCCCGAGGCCCTAGCAAGAACAAGACCAAGGGCGGCGTGACCCGCGTGCTCCTTAGGGATGGAGGCGAAGGTTGCGTTTTGGGCTTTAGGGTTTAGGGTTTAGCGGTTTAGCGGGTTAGCGGTTTAGAGGTTTAGAGGTTTTTAAGAGTTTGGTTTAAAACCGGGTTGAGGGTTTGAGGCTTAGGGCCTAGGGTGGGGGGGGTTTAGGGTATTCATGCGCGTCCTAAACCCTAAAGCCAGTTTCTTAAATCGACCCTGCTTCTTGCAAAGTGGCTGGTTGTCAAAGGTATGATCCCTTTTGGGGTACCCTAAATATTAGGTGCCGTATTCTAATATGGATCCAAACAGGGCCCATAGTTCTGACAACCACCCAAGTAGAAATTTGAAGCTTCAAAAGCAGCGTCTTGGGGTTGCTTTGCCTGGAGGACGCTGACGCGACTGAATGCGCTGGTCCAGGTTTGGAAGGGTTTCGGTGGTTTGGTGACCCGAAACCCTAAACCCCCCAACCCCCTAAACCCCAAACCCTAAACCGTAAACCCTAAACCCTAAATCCTACACCCACTTTTCCCATTAAGGTTTGCCGGGCACCTACTGGACTTCTGAGCCCTATGAACCCTCTAAGCCTTGTAGTCACCCTAGGGACCCCACAAGCCATATACACCCCATCCCCAAAGCCCGTGAAAAACCCTCGTAAGCCCTATAAACCCTATGAGCCCTGAACCCTAAACCCTATGAACCCTGAAAGCCTTTTCTCCGACCGCGGGACGGGACTGCGGCCCCGCGTCTTACTTCCCAGTACCCCGAGCGCCCCAATGGTTTAACCACCTTCTCCCTATAATAGCAACCGACCCCTCTACCCCCCCCCCCCCTTTCCAATATCAAATATTCCCCACACACTATTTTCTGGAATGGAGTATTTGATTAATTGGGAGCACGGGGGTTTAGTATTCGGGGGAGGGATTAAGGGGTTTGCTGTTCTTTGGGTTCACGGTCCAACCCAAAACCCTAAACCCCAAACCCCAAACCTAAACTCCAAACCCTAAACCCGAAACCCTAAACCCGAAACCCTAAACCCTAAACCCTAAACCCGAGGCTCCATGTCGAAGTTCATCGGTGCCGACACCTCGGCCCGGCACCGGCAGACCCTGGCGCAGATGTACCAGGCGGGGGTTTGGGGCTTAGGGTTTGGGGTTTAGGGTTTGGGGTTTGGGGTTTAGGGTTCGGGGTTTAGGGGTTTTGGATTTAGGGTTTAGGGTTCGGGGTTTGGGGTTTAGGGTTTAGGGGTTTGGGGTTTGGGGTTTCGGGCTGTTCGGGGTTTAGGGTTTAGGGGTTTGGAGGTTTAGGGGTTTCGAGCTTCGGGAACCCTAAAACCCAAAAACCCTGGACCCTAAGCCCTGCTCTGCCTGACTCATGTCATTTTTTCTGTGAGGCAACCCCTGAAGGTATCACCCGCAAAACTGCAGGTACCTGGAGTCGCGCATCAAAGGCCCTACGGCCCTCAACTCCAACCCTTTAAGGAATGTAAGTTACATTCCCACCCGGCAGCTATGCGCACAGTTGCTTTGGCGTGAGCTTCACTACTTGGAGGCTCATGGGTAGGTCTATTAGAAGTAGGGTTACAAGCACCCGTAATAACAGCATACAACCCCACTTCGGTTTGTAGGGCTGTAGGGGTACGGTTTAGGGTCTAGGGTTTGGGGTTTAGGGTTTACCCTAAGGCTCTGGGGGGGGGCGGGCCTTCGGGCACGCTTGCAAGCACACAACGTCATGCGGCGAAGGACCACCAAACCCCTAAAAAGCATCAGGGTCCGATAGTATGAAACGGGCCTTCGTCATGAAGGACCTTTAAAGACCCAAAGCCCCCAAAGCATGACCCAACGCGAATGGGCTCCGCGATTGCGCAACGCCTGCCGCGAATCATCAACACACTCCTTCCTTCTTCCTTCATCTCCTCTTCAGATTGCCTCAACATGCCAAGTCCATGCATCGTCTCTTCGAGATGATGTCGGTTGGGTCGGGAGTAGCCGGATCTGCAGGGATCCGTTTGCATCACAGTGTTGCTTAGTTGTGTTTGGGGTGAACTTGTTCAGGTCAAGCAGCATCCCGAATCTATGAACTTTACAGGGGTTCCATAAAAGAATTGTCCAAACGTGCTTGTGCTTGAGTACAGTAAACGTTTATGGAGATCACATTGATATCTTCTATAGGCTTTCGGGAGACTTTGCTGAGGGTTTCTGACATGTTTATGTACGGTCTGGCCAGTGCTGTTTTTGCGGGCAAGGTTTGGTATAGAAAGCGGGGGGCTTGGTGCTCTGAGCGGTGCTCATAGGAATTACACTGCTTGCAATACAAAAGGCTGTGGTTTTCGCTTCAATCGGAACCCAAAGGGGAGTTCTAAGCAAATAGAAGTTTCGGCTACCAAACCCCATTAACGGTCTGTGTTTGCATTTCTCCCTTCGACTGCTGCAAGCGCCTCTTGTGGCGGGCAAGGTGAAGCCGCAGCATACACATGTACCGCTGAGCAGTACGAAGGGAGACAGTGGTGCGATGCACCTTTCTACTGATGCGTCCGATTGTGCCCACAAACGACTCTGCAGCAAGAAGGTTGTACACACCAGGGTTGATGAAGCTTTCCAAGGCCTCATCAAGAGCATGTTGCAAGTAGTGGTGTTTAGGGATGATGCAAAAAGAGCTTCGAAGATACCTCTTGCCCACGCTCCTGGAGCTCAGCAGCCGCAAGTGAGCATAAGATAACAAATGCAATGACCCATGCCTGTGCAGCAGGGACGCCTGTGCTTGGCTTAGGACCATTGGGCATTCGTCAAACAAGCGGAGCATCGAGCAGTAAGACCACATGCAGGTGGCCACCAGCTCATCCAGAAATGTCACATCAGGTTGTTCTAGCCTTTCCACACATCTGGCGGCCAGCCAATAAGAAACTCGTTTCCCATTGATGGCTTTCGACGCCAGACAAGGAAACATACCACGATGCTTGCGGTTCAACCGCGATGCAGTGAATCTGGGTTGCGTTGCAGCCAGACCGTTGGCACGCAACCACATCTTGAAGTCCACAAAAGCCGTCCGGCACAACATTGCATAATTGTGCTCATAGAAGCCATGCGATGGGAAAGCACCAAAGTGACCGCACTCAATCAGGTATGTAAGGACGCTGCCATTTAAAACTTTTGAAGTTCCAAGCAACTGCGAGTGAGTGGTGTCATGCAAAAACCGTGACAGGGCCACACCACCATGAACCATTGGCACTGGCAGCTCCTCCAAGGACTTGCTTGCCATGTACTGCTGATTCGTCAGTCGGTTGGCCTTGTGAAAAGAATCTTCCCGGAAATCAGTGAAAGTGTGTCGCACATCCGGATGCTTCTTGCAAGCTGCGCACAGTGAACAAAATTCGTCAGAATCACGTTGGTAATGGTGGATCTTGAATTTGCCCTTGTCGAGATGACGCGAAAGAACATTGGCGAGAAAAAATCCCTAAGCCCCTGTAATAGAAACCCTATACGCTGGACATTGAAGCGAAAACTCTGTGCATATAGCAAAGCAAAAAATAAAACAAAAAACATGCTGCGGTATCATGCAGGAGACATTGAGCCACTTCAGGTCACCACGTACGCTGCAGAAGTAGAACCTGAAGCCGCCCGCTCGCCAAGGATGGTTCAGCCTCCAATCGCTCATTTGCTGAAATTTGCCAACAACATAGGTGAGGATGTCATCGTGGGTAAACTCGCACGCAGTGTATTCAGAGTAGCAGCAGAGCAAAAAGTTCTGTAGCAGGGCTGGCCTCATGTAGCTGAAGTCACAGCCCCAACCAATAGCAGACACTGCTCCATGATCCGAGTTTCGATAAGCGTCAACGTCATCACCATACAGAAATATAGGCAGTAGACCAGGGTATGATTCTTCAGGTATTGATGCATCTTTAAACCATGAAGAGTTCGCCTTGGCATTCCGCCAAAATGCCTCGGCGCCGGCGGATCCTTCTTCGCCCAAGAACACTGATTTGAAGAACTCTGGACCTTCCCGCCAAATGGCGGAAGCCAACGACACTGGGCAAATAATTGGCATCTTTGACTCGTAGATAGACTCCGTAGTCGGGTTGTACAGCCTGACAGGAACATGTTCAATCTTGACCGGCAGCTTCAAGCCAAATTTAGTCAGAGCATTTTGGAGATCTCTTTCCGCATTTTGTGGATGCTTGCCGCCTGCAGCCAGTTGTGAAAGTTTTCTCACCATGTCATCTTTGGGCACTTGCCCCCCAGTAGAGATGCACCATTTCATTGCTTTCTCAGCCACTTGCTGAACCTTACAGCAGGGAACGGTTTGTTCAGGGAAGAACTATTAACTTTAACTACGTGCCCTATGTACACATAGCCCAGCAACATTCGCAGCACTGCTTGATCCAGATGCATAGTTGGAGATCAGCAGCTCAGCCAAGTCATCCACTTCCTCGTGTGAACGCACACCAGGGTCAAGGGTTCACAGTGTGCAGACACGGTAGGGTAAAAGCAACTGCAACATGGGCAAGACTCGGCATTGTGACGCGTCTGGGCGGTTGGATCCTCCAAATCATCATCGTTTCCCCGAATCCATTGCTCCACAACCACCTCCGCAAGCAAAGGAAAGGTTCACATCAGGGGTTGGGAGGACGTGGGCTTGAGATGGTTTTGGTTGGGTTTATTTATGGAGAACATAAAGCCTTACCCAACCCCACCCTAAATCATCCCACTGCAGAGCGCCTCTCCTCGAGGCCGCTTCTGGGGCGGCTCCGGAACTGGCTCATGGGGTCTCTTGGCTTTGACTTTTGCAATGAGAAGTCCTCGCAAGAGTACACATAGTCCCAGTTCTGTATAGTTTTGTGTTCCCATGCATGCATGCATGCAGCAGGCAACATTTTCCTCCAGCCCACTTCATCGAGTGCTCAGATCAGCCATGAACCCCTTTCGCACAATCACAGGTTTTTGTGGGCCCGTGACCGTGCAATCCCCGTAATTACGCATCCAGTCAAGGCAGCCGCATTACGCTACAGCGAGAACGGACTATGTGGTTTAAGGGTCTACCCAGCCATACAGTAGCGCAGAAAGAAGCTGCCTCACCTGATCCTCACCCCGCATTTGCGAGGCTGCAGAAATCTACTCGTCTTCACCATCCTCGAGCTGCTCGCCCTCCACGTCTTCCTCCTCATTTCCTGCAGCAACAGCCTGCACAGAGCATGCATTGAAGGGCAAGGGCCCCAATAAAGTGTACATAGGGCTGTTGGGGTTTTGGTTTTTTTTTGGGGTTTGTAGTTGACTACAGGCAATATACTTTGCATGTACATTGCTCTATTTTTTTGAATCCCTCCAAATTTCTGCGTGTCATCCTACAGGACTGTTGTGGTGTTAGCAAACAATGGCGGCACTGCACAGGGTACACAGGGCTTGCACCGACAAACAGGGCCTGAGGTTTTAACGAAGCCTTGTCGCTTTTTGGGTGTCATCCTAAGGCTGTAGCTTTTTGGGCCTTCTCAATTTTTGTGTGTCATCCTAAGGCTGTAGCTTTTTGGGCCTTCTCGATTTTTGTGTGTCATCCTAAGGCTGTAGCTTTTTTGGGCCTTCTCGATTTTTGTGTGTCATCCTAAGGCTGTAGCTTTTATGCCTTCTCGATTTTTGCGTGTCATCCTAAGGCTGTATAGCTTTTGGGTTAAGTGACTTCGTGGCTTCAGCTAGGGCCTCGACTCAACACCTATATCAACCCGCAACCCTCCATAGACCTTCCCCCAAAAAATCCAAAACCCAGAACGCAATAACCCTGTACAGTTCTCTATCTATTGCCCATTGCTGTTGCAAAACAGCCTGCTTGTATGTATCCCCACAGCAGCTCCACCCAATGAGCATTGCGTGTTCTTCACGTATACTTGGAGGTTCGTGTGTAGTTATATAAGTATACAGGGTTGTGTAAGTAGGATAACTCCATAGGTGTATAGCCTATATAGTTACTTATATATAACTACCCATGAACCTCCAAGTGTACGTTAACTCAAGAATTGCACATGAGCTGCCTTAGCCCTCCTAGATAGTTGATCTGGCAACAGTGTAATCCATTCCCCCTAATATTAATACCCCCCTGATATAAAAATCCCTCTGGCCCCACAACCCGGTCCGGCAGTCGT